GTCGAGGGTAAACATTGTTGAAACCATTTGAGAAGTTCGTGCTGTTTCGATGCAATTGAAAGATTGATATCGTTCGAATCATCATCTCGATAGTGAACATTTAATTCCCGCAAGTTCTTCAGACTACGAATCAGATAAAGCACATCGTTGCAATTGTTGACCACGATTTGAAGTACGTGACAGTCGAAAGCTAACGATGAACCACTGAGCATAATACATTGCTCAGTGGTTAAGCAGTGACCTTGAAAATCTAGTCGACGAATAGAGCGATGTGGATTTTTTGGCAAAGTGAATCGTGACAATGACAGGCAACGAAGATTTGGAGCTCGATCGATCAATGTTTGTAATTGTAATACACTTTTAATGCCGCACTCGGAGAACGAAACAGTCAGCGAAACCAATTGATCGAGTTGTGGAGCAGTAGATGAAAATTGTGAATCGATTGGAAGAATTAATGATAGAGTATGAATGTTTAAGAATCGAGCACTGTTATGCAACACTTCTGGTGAAGTTCTCGAAGTGTAGACAAATGTAGTCACATCGTCATTGGACGCACGGCGAGTATTGTGTGGACTCGGGGTTATGTATTGAAATTCATTCGTGTTTATGGACACACCAAATGCATAAGGAAACGTGTAAATACAAAATGAGCTCAGATGTCCTAGGGCACATCGATAATAATGAACGAGCCAGCGACGATCTTCAAGCCAAAATCGAGTTCGATAAGTGTTCATCAGTCTACCGATTTCGCTTCCTAAATCAATGACATTAGACACGTAGAAATGCATTTTCATGCGGAAAGTTTTCAGTTCTAATAAATGATCAACAATCAATCGTTCCCATTGAGATCCATCGAAATTGGTGTGGCGAGTAGATACCCTCAAATGATTCAGACGAGGAACACTCCGAAGTAGATTAACTAAAACTGATATTGAACCTTGAAACGACAAATTCAAGGTTGTCAATGTTAACATTGGTGGAATCAACGGTTGATTATCAACATGGTCTTGAACTTGGATAGACACAGATCGAAGAGTTATGGTCTGTTGAAATAGACGAGTTACGTTGTTCTGTCTAAAGGAAATACTTTTAATTGACACTTCTTCTAGAGACGATGAAACAACCACAGGCCAAGGAAAATACGCTAGTTCGCTAGAATGAATGTCCAAATGACACACGCATAGTTTTGGTAAACGCCATAAGGTGTCAATTAGATGCTGATAATTAGTTTGATTCCAACCAGCAAAACTATTCGTGCAACTGAATCGAATCAGATGTGGAAGATCGACGGATGTTGTCAGAAACTTTAACGTTTCTTCAGAACGAACGTGCGACAACAATAAAGAACTTAGACGCATGAGTGAACCCATCATTCGCGTATAATTCATGAATAGACCAATTCGTTCTGGATGTTCATCATAGTCCGACAGAGACAATGTTGTCAGACGACGAAACACAGACGGCAAATGATGATGACAAATCTCGTCAAAGTCGTTCTTCGACATCAAGCGAAAATTCAGATGGAAAACAGCTCGATGTGACAGAAGAAGATCGTTAATTCGACCGTTGAGACCGTGAAAAGCACGAAGAAGATCGACAGCCCCAAGATAATCGAAAATATCGCAAAAAAGCTCATTTGGTAACAATTCTATTTCCATTTCGTCAGAATAAACACGTTTCACACTGTATGTAATCTGCACAGAACGGCAATGAGAGAAAAAAATGCACCTGTTGACCTTATCGTTAATGCAAAAACTATTTTCTTGAATGAAAAAAGAAACAAGAGCAATCATTTTATAGGCATTGAGTAAAGAAAAAAAAGCTATGAAACATCGAATGACGATGATGAACATGCTTTCTTATCATTGCTTTATGCGCAGTTCAAGCAATCACATGATCTCACTAAGCATGAGCAATTAACATCATTTGCATTGAGTACAAGTCACAGCGTGCATATCGAAAATCAGAATGCACTCCTTAGTCTCCTGTATTTCTGCACTGATATCTCAGTGAAATAATATCGGATCTGTATAAAAAAAAAAAAAAGAAAATGCACGCATATCTTTTCTATCTACGTAATAGCCTCGGGTTGCATGGTACACGTTGAAAAATGATCAGTATCAATGAATAAGGTAGCATTTAGATGGTGTTGTGAGATGGGTGTAGGTGAAAAAGAAATCAACACTCAAAACTTATCCACACCCTGCACAATCGTCCTAACATTTACATTCACACCCACCTTTGTTTACTACATGTGCAGCTTTTTCTTATCTATGTTTCTCATAGTATTCTCATTAAAAGATATTCTGTTTGGTCAATACATATAACAAGATGGCCTCCAATTGTAGATCTAGTCTTTCTGTATGCAATGTACTAATCAATGAACGATGTGAAGTCACTAACAACTGAATAATGAATTCCACAACATTTTAACTTAATAACATTAACCTAATCATTACCTGCGTCTATAGCAATATTTTTGCGCCTGAGATGATTCAAATCCAATTCCTGCTTACTCTATTTTCTTGAGCGAAAAAAATATTCCTCGGATTCTCGTAAGCTACTCAACTAGAGATACATTTTCCTTTCGAAGACTCATTCAGAATTCTGTATAGATTAGCATACTTCGTTGATGATTTCTATCTTTGAGATAATTAAAACAAGTATTACAAAGTTAAACCCATCTGATCAGCGCCTTCAGCAAGGTTGAAATCTGGATCATAGCAAACTGGGCTTGTCCTCATTCTCTCTCCTATAAAGATTTCTGTTTGGTCAACGTTGTAAGAGGTTTCTCATCCTCAACCGAAATTTTTCTAAACTTTACAACTATTATGTAGAGGAGACATAACTCTGAATCAGTCCATGGAAATATAATATGTAAAGTACATTTTGTTCAGCTTCCGATGCTCTATTGGTATGATACGCAAAAACTTTGGTTAATCTTTTATTCCTTTTTAAAAGTCAACTTTATATGAATGATTTTTGGTGATATTCTTGATATAACCTCTTGAATCATCGACAGTAAAATCGGGCTAATATTTTACTACCTTAGCGGAATACGCTAAAATTTTGGATTTGAAGGTTTTAGATGATGCTGATTAAGATGAGAACATAAAGCCAAATGTATGGGTGGGGTGTGGGTGTGAGTGAATGTGGGTATTCCTCAAAGACACCCACACTCAGACCCACATCCACATCACCCTACTAAGAGAAGAGCTCTATCGTTAAAGGATGTAACTGTGGATGTAGTGAAGCAAGAAACACGATGCATATCCGCAACCGACGATTTGAATGAATCAACTTGAATACTTTTATTAGGTGACGATGCTTTCCTTTTTTCTTGATTGTATTTTCTACACAATTTCGTATATTTTATTTTCAAATTTGAATTTTAAATATTTTTATCAATTATTATTCTTCAATTCTATCGAAATATTTATTACTCTAATTGCATTTTTGTTGTATCTTTTTCTCTTTTGACTTCACTTTTGGTTTCTCTATGGTTTCTAAATTTGCATTTTTGACGTATATTATCGAACAGATTGAGTATTATATTTGAAATTATTCTGATCTTTGATTTTGATTCAAACACTATTACTGGCAAATGACTCATTGAGAGCACTAAGAATGATGAGTCGCATTGCCAGAATGAAATCACAATCATAAATAGTTCCAATGCACCGCCATCTTCAAATAGTGATTTCTTCTGTCAATGAGTTAGCAACCTAAAACTTGTCGCTCAATAAGGCTACTCAATCAGTATTTGTTGTATGCAAGACAAACCAATCTTTTTTTTCTTTTCTCTTTCGATTCTTTTTCATTCGCAAGAAAAAAAATGTGACTGTCACTTGCTTTTGTTCTGTTTTTTATTTGCACAACTTGTCGCGTCTCAGGTAGTGTTTTTTGCATGAAGGAATAAAACAAAATATTACATAGAATTACAAGTAAGAAATTTGTGTCTAGAAATAGCTGAAGTTATTGAAGTCAATAATCATCTGTTTTGGAAATGACTCTTTTATTTTAAAATACCATTTAATTTTCAGGTTTTTACTGATTCAATAAGTCCTTAGCATGCTGTTGCTCGAGCTGTTAAAAAGAAGACTGCTGTGAAAGCTTTGATCAATTGAGACAATGCTATTTGTTTTTCTTGACAATGATGAAGAAAATCTCTGCTCAAATCGAATTGATTGAAACAAGAAAGCTGCTCATCAATCTATAGGATCAATTCATCTTTATTTTATGTGTATTTAATTTCAAGTAGAAAAATAAAACCTATCGTATATTATTATGAGATTCATTATTCTTCTGAATTCAATCAAAAAAATCTACTCGATTAGTTGCTATAAACACTAGTGTTTGTTATCTCTCAGAGAAGTCTATCAATCATTAGAAAAAGATTCCGATAAAGAATCCAAACCAAATGAAATGGTTTCTAAAAGGATTTTAATGAAATCTGGGGATATGTTAAGTGAAAACGACGTAGTATCAACTTGTTTGTACTCAACGGAATAAAATATTCATGAGAACAGTTTCGATGTGATTCTCCATTAAACATTCCACTTGACCAAACGATGAAGATTTCAACAACTTTTCAGATATTAAAAGATATTCCTCAGTTTTCTATAACGTATTCTAAGAAACGAATATTTTTTGATACACTGACATGATATTTCTCCACATCAGGTCAATTAAATATTTAACAATGACCTTGAATGAGAGAAAAGGATACTTGATCAATCAAATCCAATTGTTAATTTTCATAAAAGTTTGTCTTTGGGTGATTTTACAACTTTACCCCATACTCGCTGATCTATTTGACTATTGCCAATTGAATAATGAGGACCTTCCCACAAAAAATGATCCACTGTGTTTTAATCGTCTCGATGAGATTTATTCATTTTCACTAGTAAAACAGCTTATTATATTTATAAATATTTGTATGAATTTATTCTAGATCGAAATTATTAGATATATTCTCAATTGGCATTCTTTCTAGAGAAATGGCGACAGTAAATGAATCAAATTTGTGTTCAATATGCAATAAATCATCAGCTAGATATTTTTGCATTGGATGTAAAAGTTATTTTTGTCCGAAGGATTTCAAAGAACATGAACAACAATTATGGATGAAATTCGATAGTGAAATAGTTAGATCACATGATGAACTTCTTGATCAGCTACGAAAATTAGAAAAATCAAATTGTTTGTCATTGGAGTTTTTTGATCAAATTGAACAATGGAAGAAAATAACAATCACAAAAATTGAGAAAGCTGCAGAAAAAGCTCATCATGAACTCATCGATAAACAAAGAATCAAATTAACACAACAACTTGAACCAATTACAAAAGAAATTTGCTGTCGCCGAGACGAAGAAAATTTTCTTGAGAATGATATCGATCAACTTAAACAAAGAATTGATGAAATCCAACAAATACTTCAACAATTTATTCAAAAAGATACAAATAAAATCATCAACTTCAATGATGATAAAATTGATTGGAATCAGCTCATCTACATACGAGGAGAACAACAAAGCTGTGAGTATATTGAACTGAAAATGTGGAAGAGATATTGAGAAAATTTGACTCCAACAATAAGAAAATAAATAAATAAAAAACATAATGAATTATATACCAGGAGATAGACCGTGAGAAGCAGGATTTCACTTTTCACCGAAAATACAAGCCATGAGAGACGTTAGAAATGTGCATGGATCCACAACATTTTTTTTGTGGTAACTACGAACATATTTACGGCTTTTTTCCTGGTTAAATTATACATGTAACTTATAGTTCATGAAAAACTCTATCAATCAAAATCTAGATGATCTATACCAGATGCTAGCATCATAGTTTAATAGTGTTTAACAATTGTTTCAACAAAAACGTTTTCTATATTTTTCAATAAATGATTCTGCTGGTATAGATTTATGAAGTATTTTTTATCAGCTGTCTACCAGTATATAATCCATTTAGTGATCCACGACTCGTTCATTATTTAGAGAATTAAAAGTTCTTTATTTCTAAACGAAGCAATTATTAAAAGCTAATCAGGTGGATTTCGCTATAAACTGTCAACTCTACTTTATCCAATATCAATGAACACACTATTTCTCTTTCAGCACCATTCTTACGCAGTACTAACCTGAATGCAAATGCCAAATGGATACAGCATGGTGTCACTGTAGCTGGAGGAAATGGATATGGCAGTGGATTGAATCAACTCCACTTTCCATGGGGTTTATGCATTGATGATGATGATCAAACTATCTACATTGCTGAATACTACAATAATCGCATTGTGGAATGGAAATATGGTGCAACGACTGGTCGAATTGTGGCCGGGGGGAACGGATTAGGAAACCATCTTGATCAATTCAACAGTCCGAGAGATGTGATAATAGATAAAGAAACAAATAGTCTCATTATAAGTGATTACGGGAATAAAAGAGTTGTTCGATGGCCTCGTCAAAATGGTACAAATGGGGTGACGATTATCTCCAATATTGGGTGTTTTGGATTGGCTATGGACGATGAACGATTTCTTTATGTTGTTGATCATGATAAACATGAAGTGAAACGATATCGCATGGGAGAAAATCGAGGAAAGATAATCGCAGGTGGAAACGGGCAAGGGGATCGTCTTGATCAATTGAATCATCCGGCATACATCTTCGTTGATCGAGATCACTCAGTGTATGTATCTGATTACAGTAACCATCGTATAATAAAATGGATGAAAGATGCAAAACAAGGAATTGTTGTGGCTGGGGGTCAAGGTCAAGGAAACAGTCTTACACAATTATCAAACCCTAGTGGAGTTGTCGTAGATCAATCAGGTACTGTTTATGTGACTGATACTTGGAATCATCGAATAATCCGCTGGTCTCATGAGTCCACAGAGGGAAATGTTATTGTGAATGAAAATGGTCAAGGAAGTCAATCGAATCAGCTTTCATCTCCCACTGGTTTGTCATTTGATCAAGAGGGCAATGTCTATGTGAGTGATCAAGGAAATCATCGGGTACAAAAATTCATCATTGCTCGAAATTAATGGTTTTCATCATTGATATTGCTTTAGCACTCTTATTCTACTCTTAAACAAATGTTCGAACAATAAAGTTATTTCAAATCGGACTACCTTACATCGACAGAGAGGTTATATAATGAATCAAATGGAATGAAGTCATTTTCTATCAAGTTCTAACAAACATATTTGCTTCGAATATTGTAACATTATCTAAATGCTGTGATTTGTAGTAGAGTTAATATAACGTGTGATGATCATTGTGGCACCATTAATTTCCCAATTTTACTTCTGAAATCGGTCAATGATGACGATGATTTTAACAATGCGATTTGTTTTATTCGACTGTCAGTCTAATGTGTTCGAGCTTTTCACTTGACACCTAGAGATTAGGAGTTGATCTAATCTGAGAGAGTGAATCATGTCTGAAATTACAAATAGTTCTGAAAGGTACTTGAATACTTTGTACCTATCATTGGCTCAAATAGATCAATCAGTCGCTGGAAACCGTTCACTACTACATACTGTGACATGACGTCAAATATCTAAATAAGAATGTCTTGTTAATCTATCGTTTTTATCATGATCAATCAACTTAAGTATACATAGATTAAAAAGAATGAGGATCCTTCGATTGATTTTTAAATATTCGAATTTCGAAATGAGACTGTATATGCTTGGCTGAATTTCATGAAATGAAAAGAAAAATTTCAATAAATATCGAGAAGATATTTCAGATGATTCTTGGGCACTTCCATGCAGGTCCACCCACTTTTTACATGATTTTCTGTCGGCATGATTTAAGTATGCTAGTTTTGTAGGACTTGTGGAGTTATATAGAAATTAATATTTCGCTTCGATTCGAATCATGCGCGAACTCCGGTATGACAGGCTCAAAAGTCAATTTTATCGAAAATTGACCCCGGAAATCAGTCTGTTTTATTTTTCAGGAGTATTCGTCGGAAGGATGTGAGGTGTGGGTGTGGATGCGGGTGTGGGAATTGGTATGGATCTTCTTTTCATCTGCACCAACGCCCACATCCACACCCACACCCTCTTTTTATACCTCGGTCACGAGAGAGAGAGAGAAAAGATACATTGTTGACGAGAGAAATGGACTAACAAAATGGGATTGAGTAGAGAGTGAGATAACGTCATTATGCATAAACGTATGAGGAAGAGAGAAATGACCACTAACGACTGGAAAGAAAGTAGCATACAATAATGAAACAGCAAAGAGAAATAGGGCGAACGAGATCAATGCTCGCTTGCAGATGTGTATGATTATTGGCACACTTTACTTCGTCGAATTTAGTTTAAAACAGAGATTATTCTTCTCAACCATTCAAGTACATGTGTCTATCCTTCAAATATGAGCGAAATACTTTTATATATGGAAAACATTGTAAAACATTAGCATTGTATATATAAAGACTTTTCGACTTTAAAGCTTGTAGACCTGACCATAAAATGTAGATCAAAGTGATTTCATCTTAGAGAGAAAATTATGTTCTGTCTGGGTAGCTATTGGAGAAAATTATAGATACTGTTCTCCCCATCGAAATAATTAAAAAGTAATACATTGTAATATGATGGAATTTGAAAATTTTCATTTTTTCCATGTTTTTCAATTATCCTCACTAAAATCAAGTTTTGAAGATGAAGATCAACTCTCGAGAAAATCTTTTTTTGATAAACTAGTAGAGCGTGAAATTCTCTATCGATTGATATAGTTTTTTTTTCATTTTAGCACAAACCTCTTGATTAGAAAAATGTGAAATACTGAAAGGCACTTAAACCCAGTGTTGCCTAGGAAAAAATCATTTTAATTATCAAAAATCTATATAGACACACAGAGTCTCGTTCTATAATATATCATGTAGCTGGCCTCTAGTACTATCTATATCACCATTTGAATCAGATCGATACCTCTTAATATGAAAAAGAAATTGAAAAAAGAAATGTTAAAAACAAAATCTGAAAAACCAATTTCGCTGAAACTTTTGTCCCAGACTTTATTTCAATCATCTCATTATGGTATCATCTTATCATTAATCGGACTACTAAATCACCATTAAATTGTCTATTTTGACCATGTATAAAAAGTATTTGGTATTATAGTTAGTCTTGTTTTCGTTGTATATTTTATTTAGTTAATATTACGAAGAGAAAGATTTATAAAAAAAAACAAATAATCTGTATTTATCATAGAGAAACAAAAAATAGAAACGATATTTACGGACAATCTGTGAATTTTTCTATCCAATGAAATAGTTATATCAATCAATATTAGTTTTATCTTGTTCAATTTTATTATTATCCTTGTTTTAATTCTTAATATCCGCAACAGATTTACTAAGATCAGTTATAGCCCATGAAAAATCATCATTAGCATCAATAAAAACATCTTCAAATAAAAATTGATGAAAACGTGGTTCATATTCATTTGGTGGTATAAGAGAATGTTCAAGATGCTTATCGGGATCAGTAAGTTTTCGAAATGTGTGATCAAGAATTCTAAGAACATCATATGTTTGAAGGATATCAATCAAAGCTAAATAAATATAAACACGTTTATTAGTTCCATTTATAATACCCGGAATAGGTAAAGTTGCATAAGCAACAGAATCATCATTATAATATAAATTCATATTAATTTTTTCTTTGAGAATTTCTAATGGTTTTAAATATGAATTTAGTAAAGATGTTGTATCGGATGCAAAAACTGATGAGGAAGCAAAAAGAGGTGGATTTTCCGTTTGGTTTGATGCAAAACTATTCGTTGCACGAAGAAGAGCTGTAACTCCTGTGATCTTTTGACGTTCCAACATTTGTACTTCAGACATATCTAAATGTCTGATTCCAAGTAATAATGAAAAATCCATTATATTAAGTTTTCTTAAAGCTTTTGCATCATTAGCAATAATAATTTTTAATTTTTGATAAATATTTGTTGGTATACGTATACCATCTGGATATAATTCTGTAAAATTCATATCTTTTAATTTGTAGAATTTTTCCGTTGATAAATATCCAGTTATTTTTCGTCTTATTTTTGAACCTTTTAAATCAAATATTTCATTAATTTTTAATGATGGTGTAAATGCATTAACTGTAATAGCAACATAAATTATAATATTTGATGATGATGTTTGTATACGTAATGAATATAATCCAACATAACGATTAAGTATTGTTGAATGTTGTCGAAATCGTAAGTGATAACCAGACAAAATTTGCAATAATAAACGTGCTTCATAATCCAGTAAAGTTTTTAGAATGAATAATTGATCATTTGTTTTATACATTAATGAACCACTTCTACCTGTATTTGTGAAATCTTTTAAATTATATTCAGAAAATGATTCACGAAATTTTTCATTTGATATACCAATATCTTCACGTAATTGATAAAAAATAGTTGGAGCTAATGAACTTATTTCAATATTTATTTTATCATCATTGTTGGTTAATTCAGCAAATTGAATATTATCTTCTTTGACATTGAATGTATATTGACACGAATGATATAAATGATGTTCATTACCAAAAGTGGTTGTATCATCTTCTTGATATTCATTAAATCTTTTTGTTACATGATCAAGTAAATCAACAATACCATGACATAATGCTGGTCCAATAACAGAAGTTTTTGAACTAACATAGCGTAATGTTATTGGAGCTTTCACAAAAGATGCAGCATGAAAATCTAATCGATCCGATACGTCGACATTGAATAAGCCTTCTCTTATTTTGTTATTACTAGTCGTCATGTTTCTTCTTTTCGTTGATGTTGATCGTAAGAGTCAGTGAATGAGTGTCACGTTTCAATGAATAAGTTAAAGAGAAAGATAATAGCTATGATAAAGAAAACCATGTCAATATTACTAATTTTGACTATAGCAAAAATATTATTGTATTATGAGGGTGTTGGTGTGCGGTGTGACAGTCTATCTTCATTATAGTCATTCCCACACCCACCCACACCCTTCAATGTCATTCTTACTACAGCAATATAGGATTTCTTCTCAAATGCTGCATTGTTGTGTTTCACATCAAAGTCAATGACGAAAAACGTTATACGGAAAAAGATCAGCCATAGTTTGCAAAACAAAATCACAAAAACTGGCTTTTTTTCAACGTGCCATATCTCGAGAAGGACACAACCGCTCTTGTTGAAAATTTCAAAACATACTTAATATCCTAAGAGTATTGATGAGCAAAGTTTCATATAAAAATTCCTTAGTTTTGACTTGTCTATGAGGCTGAATATTCTATACAAAGAACATTTTGTTTATGATGAGATAATGTGTCAGCAGATCGATTAAAAATATATGGGATGGTTTTATCAAATGCATTGATGCTATGTTTACTAATATCACTTCAAAAAAAATGAAGCTGTATGTTGCATAGGTCTTATTTGCAATTTTTATTCTCATTATCCAAATATTCCTTCAAAGAGACATTCGACTTTTAAAAGTTAATTATAATGTTTTTCAAACTCAAAAGAGCTCGGAATTTTTTAGTAGATAGACAAAAAAATAAAAATTCACATTTCTGCTAAAATATGAGCATCGAAAGTTAGACAGTCCCGCAGGTTTCATCAGAACGAAGTCTCAGTTGTTTGCCCTTCGATCCTAGCTCATCATGAAAAGGTCTTCTAATATAGAGGTGTTTCTTTTAAAAGAGGAATGTCTGAAATTCAGAAAAGAATCCGAAAGCCCGACAAACTCCAGAAAAACTTCAAAATACTAAAATTTTTCAGTAAAATCTAGAAGATCTGGCAACACTGGTTGCACTTCTATAAACTCTTATAAGGATTTAAAAAAATAAAATAATCTTTCATACAACCTTTGCAAAAGTATATGAAACAGTTTGAGATACACTTAATCCTACCAGTGTACTTATGAAGCGAGATGAATCGAAAAAAAAAGAAATTCATTGCAAAACAAATTTTTTTTTGCTTTTTTTCTAGTCAACAATATTCCGGTGAGTTTGAATCAGCACGTAAAGTAATAATAAACGTG